TTGGAATAACATTAATATGCATTAATAAGGAGGTAAGAATTAATGGCTTTTTGCCTCTTTCCAATACTCAATGTTAGCATATGTTGAGAAATAATTTTCTCTCTTTTTTTTAAACTTCTATTTTGATTTCTAAAAAACTAGCTGAGAGAGATAATGTTGCAAATATGAAATAAAAGAATGACAATTAAATAATCACTAGTTATTCCTCTCCCATATCAATAACACATGAAAAGGGCTACTATTGTGATTCATTATTGTAAGTTTTTCTCCCTGTTATGGTGTAGGGATCTTTATGCATAATATATTCTATGTACTTTGATTAGGTGCATGGATTTCAAATTTGTCAACATAATTTCTATCAATTAGGAACTACTTATTTGTATAGAAACAACAATATGTGAAGCAATATTTAAAGGCCATGATTCACCAAGAAAAAAAAATTCAAAGGCCATGACGGTGACCAAGTAAGATTTCTAAATTAGCAAAATTTTGAGCATAATGATGAAAGAGAAGATGTTAGAGTTTGTAATAGTATGTATTGTGGGTTATTTGTCATTGTTGATTTTATTCATATAATAATCTATAACTTACTGCTTGGAAGTGTGTGGTTATGAAGCTTTTTACAATAATAAGTATGTTGTTATGGTATAATACCCAATTGGGCAAAGACAAATATAAATATAATAAATGAAAATATGTTTTATAAATCTAAGCTCAAATAATGGAACATCCGATACATCATATTGAATATGCTCTAATGCCTATTGTTGTGATTGACAAATATTGCAAAAATAAGAATTTGCATAAAGTTTTATTTGACATTTAAATATAATGCAATAATTAGAATCTGGTGTAATGTAGAAACTAACAAAGGACCACAAGGGGCAATATTCCACCTTGAAAACAAAGAACTAAAGTCGATGATGCTAGAGTGAACTATATTTGCAAAAGAGCAAACACTAAATATAGGTTCCAAATACATCCAACCCAACTATGCATCAAAAGAGCTAGAAATCAAAACAAACACCCACTTTACAAGGTATTCAATAATAAAGCCAAAAAATATCATTTTGCAACAAATTCAAATCTTCTCATGTTTTAAAACCCATACTGGAGAGTTGTCTTTAATTATAGGCATCAAATCTTCAAGCTCAATTGATAAGGTTCTATTATATGTTCAACCTCACAATTCTTTGCAAGCATGTAGCAAGTACAAAAGGCATCAATGCTACGATGTGTTAACTAAATGCAAAAAGATTAGTATGCTACTAGCCTCTGCATCAACATCATTTCATGATGGCACTTGGTGTGTTGCCATGCTCATGCTTTAGCATTATATCTTTTGCCTATTACAGCTTTGAACTCAATTTACAACAGATCATAAGTTATTACCTGTCACAAAACAAATAAATTATGTAACTCAAAATACTATATTCATATAAGAATATGCAGAAAAAACAAATGTCAAAAAAAGTTTGTGTGAAGAATTTCATCTTAAACAGGGTTAGCATCCCATTTTGCAACAATGGTAGAAAAGAAGGTTTGAGTTTTAGAGGGCAATATATGTCATTCCTCTATTTGACTTTGCATTAAAACCATATTTTGAACAAAAAAGTTTCCATCTTTCTAGATATGAATAATTGATAATAAAGCACCTAACTAGAAAAATACTTCTACACATCAAATCAAAATAGTTTTCTATTTTGACTAAGATTGGAATAAAGTTTTTTTTCTCCAAAATATAAAGTCTATCTGTTAAATCATGTGAAATTATGTTTTCACTACAAGTACCACAATTCCTTCACAACTTGCAAATCTAAGACTGAGTTATTTGACTAGCATGTGAGACCAAAATCATTCAATGAAATCAAAGCAAAACATGATGAAAAGAGGATCGCCAAGAGACCTTCAACCTTTAGATCTCACATTCATCCCGAGTCTCTAATTATGAGTAAGTTACCGAGAAGAGGAAGATGAGGGCAAAATCGCATATTGTGTGATTGTCAAAAACAGAGGAAGAAGCTCAAGATTACAACTTACCACCCCAAACTCGATGATAGATTTTTACCATTAAGAGCTTAAGCTTCGTCTCAAGTTCCATGAAAGAGGATGATCACTAAAGATAAAAGTTAGGGTTCTTAGTTGAATAACTTACTAAAATAAGGATTTAGCTCAAAAATACTACCTCCGGTACTTAATATAAGAGCTAGTTTTACTTTTAATTTGATCCTAAATATAAGACTCTAATTTATTTTATTTATCATATTTATCTATTTTTTTCAAAATAGTCTTTGTAGTAGTTACACATGTTAAATATTCAATTAAATGATAGTTTTAACTAATAAATGATTAGCATGAATATTTTAGAGAAGACAACACCTAATTATTATAAATAACTAACTCAATAAACTTTCTTAATCTACTCAAATTAGTTAACTAGTTTTTATATTAAGGATTAGAGACAGTAATATTTAAGAAAAGTGTTGGATCATTGTTAACAAAATCAAGATTTTAAACTATATAATAATATATTATAAATTCAATCCAAGTGGGCACACGAATGGGCTCGTGAGTTACTATTATAAAGTTTTTAATTTCATAATTAATTTTGGCCTATATGGGAGTATTTAGTGTCAGATAACTATGATTTGGCATGTATAATACCAACTCCATTAGTGTGAGAGTTAAATAACTAATTTATAGACATTAAGAAAATAAATTAAATTAGTCAATTGTAACAAATGTGTTTTGATTTTTTTTTTTAAAACTACCATATTTAATTATGTACATTAAAACTACCATTTGATTGGAAACTCTCTTACTATATGCAATTAATAGGAATATTTTAGATACGAAATTATAAATTTTGGAGGCAAATTGAACTAATATCTTATATTTAAAATAAAAGCAATCTCTTGTCTAGTTCATATATTTAGAGCAGGAGGTAGTAGCATTTTGTTTTGGGTTCATAGCTTTTTTTTGTTGTATGAAAATATTGTGTGAATACTTTTAAGAAAATTATGATTTTGACTCTCATAATTGACTTTGGTTTCCCCCTAAAATACTTTTTAAAAGTATTTTTAAGTAAGTTGAGATAAAACTATTCTTACATACTTATTTTGTATACCGTAAAATCACTTTTAAAATTATAATTTAGTTTATACTCAAACAACCTCTAAGGGAAGAATCTAAAAAGCCCCTAATAGTATATGATTATGACTCTCATAATTGATCATGATCTTGACCCATTACTCTTTTTTGCCACTTTTTTTTTTTTTTGATAATACAAATGCAAGCTTAGCATTTGAGAGATTTTAGGGGTAGTTAACTACCTATTACAAGTCAAATAGCTACTCTTGGCATATTGTCCATTCCCGTCTTTTCTGCCACTTTAATTGCATAACTTTTATGAAATTGAAAAATGGATCAGACTGGAAACCGGTGAATCGGCCACATGTCCGATCCGGTTAAGTGCTTAAACCAGAAAAAATGCAACCTAGCCTGAATCAGATTGAACCAGTGTGACCCAGTCATAATTCAGGTAACTCGTTGGGTTAGCCAAGTTATGTTTTAAATGTTTTATCACAGTCCATCGAGGAGGGAGATCGAAGTTAAAGAAGAAAAGGAGGAGAAATGTAAGCAGGGAAGATGATTTCAAAGATCTAAATTTGAGGTTTAAGTAAGAAATCTTTAAATAGAGTGAGAAATAGAAGAGAAAACATGGAGAGAAACTTGTGACTTGTGACTGATTCTAGAAAGAGGTGATAGGAGACGGTGAAAATGGAGGAGGCTGAAGAAAAGAGAGACGACAGTGGGAGACTAATAGGAGATGATAGCTTGGAGACGACATCAGACATTGTTGGTCTTAAGATATTTAGTCACCATACAAGATATCATCCACCTTTTACACGCCTTTTCTACTTTCTCCATTCAAGTGTATCCATGATTAGGCCTTTTCTTGTTTTTCACCTTTCTTCCATTCTTGGGATATGCTCTATTCTTTGTTATTCTGTTTAACATTTTGGCACAGAGAGAAAAGATGGAAGAGTGGAGAGGAAGATTTGGTACAATATACACAATTAAAACAACCATCATATAAAATAAAATGAAATAAAAACTCATACCAATCAAGGCTTTGTACTGTATACACTATTAAAAAATCTCGATGGACTCAATTCTTTTTTGGGAAAATTCCAGAAAAAGCCTTTGGAATATACCAAATCCCAGATTGGGCCCTTAAATTTCGAAAATGACAGAATGAGTCATTGACCCAATCTGTCATTTGTAAAATTCAGGCGAATTGACATTTTTGCCCCTGAGTAAAAGTGAGTAGTTATTCTCTATACAAATCTAGGTAATGCTTACATTGTTCTAGTGATTACAGCATTAGTTGTAGTTAATAACAAGACACCTGACTATGAAAAAGTGAATAGTTATTCGCTATACGAATTTAGGTAACACCTAAACTCTTATAGTGATTCCTTGAATCATTGTAGTGAATGAATAAATAAGGGCAAAATTGTCAATTCGCTTGAATTTCACAAATGACAGATTGGGTCAATGACCCATTCTGTCATTTTTGAAATTTAAGGACCCAATCTGACATTTCCCATATTCCAATGACTTTTTTTGGAATTTTCCCTTCTTTTTTTTGGCTGACTTCATGACTCTTTAATATGACTGATGTTTTGCCTCTCAACATCCTCTCAATGCACAGAGTTCAAGTAGATTTGAAATTTAATATAAGATATTCATATTATTTAAAATATTTAGCCTTAAGAAAATATTTTTAATAAGATTATATTATTTAAATCATAACTATTTTAACTCCAGTCTGATCCTAATCTAATCTATTAACCCTTACCCCACTATTTGTATCGGTTTACTTACTAAAAAAGTGAAAAAGGAAAATTATTTTTTCTTTCTTTTAGTTTTTATATTGAATTGATATTTTGGGTGCGCACAACGCACCAGGCGCGCCGAATAGCTGAAAGTTTTGGTTTGTCTTTTAACAGCAATCCCCAAAGTCTTCCTGGTTCACCTACGCTTCTCTGGGTTTGGCTGCAAATTTTCGGGTAATTAAACTCCAAATTCCCTTCATCCTAGTTTCCTTGACTATTCTTATAATCGTCAACGATTGAATGCTTTTTACAAAAGATTAAATTTTCTGTTCGATCACTGTGAAATTGAATTTCCGCTGCGTAATTATGCAAAATCGCAAATGCATTATTCTTGAATTTTAACGTCTGCGATACGTTCAATGACGTTGTGATAGATTTTTGAAAGCTTATCTGATCGCGAAGAATTTACCAATGAAACGGGAAGTGCAGCTAGAGCCGCCAGTTGCGCAAAACCTTGGGGATTCCGACCCTCTGCTCGATAATCAGGAGGAGGAGGAGGAAGTGCGGAAGGAGGAGGAGTGCCCAGGAAGCACAAGTGAGATTAAGAGTGAAGATGTCGAGGCCGGTTCACTTCCTTCTTGTCGAATTTGCCTGGAAAGCGATTCCGACCCAGGTGAAAAATGGTTTGCAGGCCTTTTTATGTTAAACTTGGTGAAAACTTGGTCTTTAGTTAACTATACCATGTGTTATTTCATTCAAAGAAAGAGTTACTCCTCTAAAGAACTCAGTTGGAAATGTTTATCTTGTCAGACCATGAAAATCTACTCCTCTAAATGACGTAGAGTTGCAAATGTTTATCTTGTTAAACCATGAAAATCTGCGTAAACTTATGTTTTATTTAGTTGACTGATCGCACCAATATGCAGAATTCAATATAGCAGTTAGTATCAGAATGTAGTGTCTTAAAAATTTTGATCAGGACTTGGTCATTGTTTCATATTGGAATTGTTTTCATGCTATATGGTTATGTTAACACTATATTTGAATTTCATTATCTGATCGTTGAAGTGGGATTCCTCCTTGCTAAATGGGACTACTCTGGTGGTACAACAATGTAGAACGATTTCTCAAGTGACTTAGTTTCCTGTGTATTTTTGGAAATTTTGCTTGAATTCTGTAGAAAAAAGTTTATTACTACTTTGGATAGATTATTTTCCTTTTTCAGAAGGTAGAGTATTTGCTGCGTTAAGATAAGATAATATGGTAAAAGAGGTAATGATAATTAAGTTTATGGCTCATCATTGTTTTAGCTGTGATGTCATTGAACAAATATATGTAAGAGTGGGTAATTGCTTCCCTCAACCTAATATTTGTCATTTAATTTCTTTAGGTGATGAATTGATATCACCATGCATGTGCAAGGGGACCCAACAGTTTGTCCATCGTTCCTGTCTTGATCACTGGCGCTCAGTAAAGGTGAATATTATCAATTATAAACGTGATGTGTAATTTCAAATGCCAGTTTTTAGCTAGTTGAGATTGAAGGTTAATTTGTTGAGCCTATTCTATTTGGTCTGCAGGAAGGGTTTGCCTTCTCACACTGCACCACTTGCAAAGCCCAGTTTCATCTTCGAGTTGAATTGTTTGAGGACAACTCCTGGCGTAAAATGAAGTTCAGGCTTTTTGTGGCGAGGGATGTTTTTCTTGTATTTTTGGCTGTACAAACTGTGAGTACTCTTATGCCTCTTTTCTGGCAGAAGTGTCAATGATACATTCTTTTCTTTGAATTCCATGAGGTCAGTTTCTTTTTGGTAATTATCCAGAAATGTTCTGTTATATATATGCTATTCTTTATTAAATGAGGCAGTGTAGCATATGGCACCGCTAGATCGAGAATATTTTCTAACACTAATGTCCAGATGAGTTTATCTGCCAAAATCAATTAGGAAAAAGAAGACCACTCCCCAAGGAAGTCTCTTATATTGAATTATCTATCTATTTGTTTGCTAGGTGATTGCGGCAATGGGTGCCTTTGCATACCTCATGGACAAAGATGGAGCATTCAGGAACTCATTCGATGATGGTTGGGATCGGATACTGTCAAACCATCCTATTCCATTTTATTACACTATTGGTAAGCTATCATTATGTTAGGAGTTATTTGCTTCTCTGTGGAGGTCAAACTTCCTCTGGCACACGCAAATGCATCTTCCTATGTGTTCTGATTCATATTTTTTATATTCTTCTTCATATTGTCCTCCGTAAATTCCAAAGAAATAGTAAAATATTGTACGCAAATTATTGTCCTTTCTTTGGCCCGGGGGTTAATTTTAAAATGTGTAACATTTGTTGCTACTGTTCACCCTGAAACATCTCAAAGTTCTAGGTGCTATTCCATCCTTAGCAGTGGTAAGTGGCAGAACCGTGAAAACTTCATCTTATATTTTCTGTTTATCCGCTTTCCTGTCACACAGAAATACACATTTTCCTGATGGATTGAAATATGTTCCATTTACCAGGAGTAGTAGCATTCTTTGTGCTGCTTGGATTTTTTGGTCTCATTCTACATTGTTCCTCCCTCAATGCCAATGACTCTAGAATGGCTGGGTGTCAGAACTGTTGTTATGGATGGGGGATTTTGGATTGCTTTCCTGCATCAATGGAGGCATGCTTTGCCCTTGTGGTTGTTTTTGTAGTCATCTTCGCAATTTTGGGTATAGCTTACAGTTTCCTCGCAGCCACAATGGCGATTCAAAGAATTTGGCAGAGGCACTACCACATACTGACCAAGCGGGAGCTAACAAAGGTATTTTATAACATTGGCATTGAAATATCCCTTAGTCCTTGTCTTTCGTCTTAATTCCTATGAACTTTGAACTCTGTTTCCACTTTCATATTACTTAATTGGTTATAATATTTCCAGGAATATGTTGTGGAGGATCTCCAAGGTTCTTATTCCCCACCAAAATTGGACCCAGAACACGAAGAGCGCTTGAAAATGCTCAAGCTTTTGTGATTGATTAAACAGACTTGTAAAATGTGATATAGAATTTTTAATGCTAAGATTTTATTTTAAATTTTAGTTGCAACCTCTCATGTTCAGCAGCCTTCTGTTACTGAGCATGCAAGTGGATTATATGATCGTTTTTATCTTGTTCCTCGCCAGGTTCTTTACTTCGCTGACTCTATCATGTATGCACTTTTTTTTTACCCATTTTCAAACTCTCCTTTTTTGTAAATAAAAAAAAATTAAAGGATTGTATAAGTATTTTTTTTGTCCTTTTAGGATGCACATCTTAGTCATATGCTTTATCGAGAGACCATCATCAAAAGTAGTAATGTCAGAGGCTTCATAAATTCAAGCATGTCTAGCTCATTTGCCCAAACTTGTTATTTCCCCCTTCACTGTGGGAAAGGATTCAAGTTGCACTTTCATCTTCTATTTCCCGAATAGATTGTAATGTTCAGACTCGCCCTATCCTATATATGATATTAGGATTAAGTTGGTGAATACGGTTTGAATCTGACAATTCTCTAGGAAAAAGCAGACACACAGTTGAACGCAAGGGATATATAGACAATCAGAATTGTTTCTTAATCCGGGCTCTTGGGCCTTAGCATGATTGAAAAACAAACATTTTATTCTCAAAGTGAGGCGAAATGTACAACTTTTTATCAATCGCGCAAGAATCCCCATCAAACGGGTGAATCCATTTATTCTCTTTGAATTTTGGATGAACAGGGAAGCAAATTAGGCAAAAAGAGGAAAGCCAGAAGATTATAAGTTTTTTTTTTTTTTTTGTCAGAGCAATGGAAGCTGGTGGATGAGGAGGATGAAGATTTTCAGAAAATTTTCTGATACGCACACTATAAAACCACATTGTTTTGAAGCTGCTCTGGGTAACTAGATTGACGTGCGAAACCACCAGCAGAGACAAAAACGAGATGATCCTCGTCTCTAATAACATCAAATATAATTATTATGAGCTCCATCTTTGCTCAAAACATTGACATGATCATGAAACAATCCACATTTGTTAACACCAATCTCAATAATCTCCTTGAAACTCCCAGGTAACAGCTCCTTCAAGTTATTATTCATTAAAAAATATGTGTTGATTTTCTTAGATACTTCTTCTGGTAGATAACTAATTTGTGGATATTAAGAAAACTAATTAAGCTAATTATTTTTAACAAATGTGTGTATTGGAACTACCTTGTAGTGAGAACCCCTTATAATCACTAGGGAAGTTTTGGAAATTAAAAAAAAAATCATAAGTTTGGAGGACATTTTAGAACCAAATCTAACTTTTCTATTAGCTCTTGTATTAAAGAATAAATGTAGTATTTAATAAGAAAACTGCATTGGCTATTATTGTGCTCACAAAAATAACATTACCTTTTATCCTTAGTATAAGAGCTAGATAACTAATTTGGAAAAAATAAATAACTACTCTGGAGAAATTAAAAAAATTAGCTAAGTTAGCTATTTGTAATAAATATGTGTTGATTTCTCTAAATTATCTATATTTAATCATGCACATTAGAACTATATTTGGGTGGAAATACTTTACAATCAATAAGAATATTTTTTAGAACATATTATAAATTTAGGAAATAAAGTAGACTGAGGTTTTATATTTAGAACTTTCAACTAGCTATGATATTTAGCATTAGAAGTGATATTACTTAAAATCATGAGGAAAAATTAGCCTAGTACAAACATTACATTCACCTGATAATGTACACAAGATTAATTGATTAAATACATATCCATTAATTGTTAAAGTAAGCCAATAAGCTGTTTTGTTCTTCTTTTTTTTTTTTAAATCCAACAAATAGATACATCCATTTTTTTTTAGGAAAAATATATTTGCAAGTCCTTATAGTTTGATTAGATTTTGAATTAGGTCCTTATAATTTTATTTTATTTTATTGAATTCCTGCAGTTAATTTTGTTAAATTTACAAATTCTTCCATTATTAATGTTGCAAACGCCGTTAACCCGTAATGATAAAGGATGATTTGGCAGTGCGCTCCCCCCTGAGGTTTGTGCCTCTCTCTATCACCTGTCTCTTCTGTTGAAGCTAACCCGATGAGTTCAATGACGCACAGAAGGAGTGAAGCTGATCCTACTCCTCATCAACATGGGCACGCTGCTTCGACGTTATTATGAGTTTGATTATGTAAAGGAGTAAGGTGAGGGTTGGCGTTCAGCATTCCGCCCATGGCAATTTTTTTGGTGAACTACTATGGCCACTTTCATTAGCACCGCTGCTCCTTTTGTCTTTTGTTATAGATAAGCAAGATTTTATGAATTCAGATCTCGGAGGAAAACTAATTACTATAATATATATATATATATATATATATATATATGATAGACCATGGAAATATGATTGTCATGAAACTTGCCAAAAACGCAGTGTGCTGGCTTAGGTTGACTGGAGTCAGAGAGACATGAAAAGGAGGTTATATATATGCCAGAAATATTATTACAAAGTGAAGAAATGTAGACTAAGATGCAAAATTTTTTTTTATCAATTTCTCCCATGAGATTCTGATCAGAGCTTCTTTATGATACTCCTCCGGTCCTTAATATAAAACCCATTTAACTAATTTGATTAGATTAAGGAAGTTAGGTAAGTTAGTTAATTATAAGAAATATGACACATTTTTCCTAAAACACCATAATCATCTTTTTTAATATATCATCTCCCTCTTTTGTTTGGTTATGGTTAGGGGAGTATCTATAAGGGTAATTTAGAGAAAATTAATTAATATGAGAAATGGGTCTTATATTTAGGACCAAAACCAACTCAATAATTGGGTCCTATATTAAGAAGTGGAGGAGTATATCATTACAGCATAGAAGCAGCGTACCCATGTTGATGAGGAGTGGGATCAGTCAAAGAGGGAGTCTTTCATCGCTCTGTCGGGGTGTCATCAAGCTCACTGTGGTTAGTTTCACCAGATGAGAGAGAGAGACACACACACAAACTTAGGAGGCTGGGAGTGCATTGCTAGATTATCTTTTGTCATTATGGGTTAACCGTGTTTGCAACATTAGTGGCGGAAGGACTTGTAAATTTATCAAAATTAACTATAAGGATTCAATAAAAAAAAAACTATAAGGACCTAATTTAAAATCTGATTAAACCACAAGGGCCTGCAAATATATTTTCCCTTTATTTTATATGCAGCAAATAAATTTTAGACGCATCCGTTTTTCTTGACATCCCAGTTTTGCTTGTCCCAACATCAAACACAAACCTTCATGCTGCGTGTTTTTTCACCTTCAGGTTTTGCCATTCTTCCCCTCTATTCTGTTTTTCCTTTTTCTTTTTCCACTTTTCCGATTTCATGACAGCAAAATAAAAATCATTGATGAAAATGCTATGAAACTGATATGTGTGGATCTACAATATCTTGTTGCAAAGCATTTTTGAGATTACCAGACGAAGAGGCATCATATAATACATACTCACCCATGATAAAACGGCAAGGTACTTCATATATTGGGAAAGTATTAGTTAACATTGAGATTATACATAGAACAGAATCTAATTTCTTAAAAAATATAATTATAGAAGTCATGATAAATAATAGATGAGATTTGTATAATAAATTTGGTGAAAATGTTGAATTTTGAAAAGTGAAATAAAAATTAATTGCAATATAATAATTAAGAAAAGACAATACTCATGCCAAGTTTGATATATCCATTATATAAAGTTCCCAAATCACATATAGTCTTGTGTCATATTTTTAAAATATTATTATTAAATTATAAACCTACATGAAAAAAATTAGTTTTTTAGTTAAATCCTATATTAAGTTTTTCAAATATTTAGGTATTATAGGTCTTTCTTAATTATTTGCCATTAACATTTCTGAATTTTCTTATTAAATTAATGTTTTCATACCTATATAATTTTTCTGAAATAATGGTTGATTAGTTTTCGAATAGGATAACATTACCTAGTATCCTCTTAATCATTGTCTTAAAAGCTAATTATTTCTTTTCATGATAGTTTGTCATTTTCTTTTTCAAAACTAATGTAATTTCGTCATGGTAAAAAAGTTGTAATTTCTTAATTTTTAGATACAATATGTAACTAATGTTAGGGTAGTAATGCGGGCCAACTTGTAAATCCATATAGATCAGGTTAGAAAGGTTTGTTTGAAAACAGATTGGTTGAAAGCCAATCCTAACTTGCTAAGGTGGATTGGTACCCGCCAACAATTATTTATTTATTTTTTGTTGAAAATTCTCTGTTTTTAATATTTTCTAATACAATATCCACAAAAATATAATGAGATTTTTGTTTTAAAAAATTGCAAAAAAAACCTTAAAAATAGAAAAATTGTAAATAGGGACTCATTACAATATTAGTGTGGGTTTTGACAATAACTGATAAACAGATAACAACAAATTTTGTGAACGGGTCCTTGTATGCAATTTTTTAATTTTTAAGGTCTTTTTTGCGATTTCCCTTTTGTTTTATCTTAAAATATTTGATTAAAAGCATCAAATAAACTATATAGGTATTTTTTTTAATTTTTTAGATAGGATATAATATATAATAATATAATTATAATAATTAAAAAAATTTAAAAATGAAAAAAATGAGTGTTAGCCCCCGAATTACGGGTCTAGCAATATGGGTTAAAAAGGCTTATTTATTGGTGAGACTTGCAGGTTCAACTCATATTATCGGCTCTAACTAATGTTGAACTAACTTACGTTTTAAATTTAAAAATTAAATAAAATAGAAAAACATGGGCTTTTAGTTTATTCTAAGCTTATCCCCTTATTTCCAGGGTTTTGTCTGAGCTAGAAAACTATTTTTCCTTTTTTTTTTTCCCGCTCATTTTTTAAGCGCAAACTCATATGATAAAATAAGTGTAAGGAGAAGATGATGGACTCAAATTTTAGTTATGTTGTTAATACTACGCCGAGAACCACTGGGTAGGGGTGGAAATAGGCCAGGCGGCCTGTCAGGGGCCTGTGGCCTGGCCTGTAAGTGGCCTGGCCTATTTCCAAATTAAAACAGGCTCAGGCCTTTTTAAAGGCCTGTTTCTCTTAAAAGGCCAGGCCCAGGCTCTTTAATAAGCCTGTTAAGCCTGTTAGGCGGCCTGGGCCTGTTATATTTTTTTTTAAAATATTATAATTATAAATTTATAATTAACTTTTTAAAAATAATACCATGTTTTGATTAATATTGTAATATGCCTAATACCACACTTTTATCCTGAATAAGACCATGTTTGGATTACTCTTCAATATACCTTGGATGATGATTTCTATAATATGCACTTTGTTATTCATTCAAATCCTACTGCCCGATGATGATTTCGTGTTTGTCATTTTTGACTTTTATTTACCTATACAAAACTACTTAGTTTTTCTAACGCACATCACCAACAATTGACAATAGAAATAGCCCCTCTATGAATTTGATTTCTATTTATCCCTTGTATTGTGACCATTTTAACTACATCTTCTCCTCAAGTTATTAAATATTTTTCACTTAAATAATATAATTTGAAACATGAACAACAAAATAATATACTACCATTTGAATATTAAATATTTTTCACTTAAATATTTTAGATAATTTTATGTTTGTATTTTATATAATTTGGATTGAGTTATTATAATGTTGAGTTGATTTAAATATGTTTAAAATATTTTAAAAAAAATGCAGGCTTCTTAACAGGCTTCAGGCCAGGCCAGGCTTTTACACAGGCTAGGCTCAGGCTGAATATAAGGCCTGTCACAGGCCACAGGCCAGGCTCAGGCCAACAGGCTTCAATACAGGCCTGGCCTGTTAGGTGTAAAGCCTGGCCTGGCCTGGCCTGTTTCCACCCCTGCCACTGGGTTCGATAGCACTTGACACCTCTTCTTATGGAAGAGGTTGTGGGTTCTATAATAGGGTCAAAGTGGGTGCAGAATATGTGTCGAGTGTCGGTGTGTTGGTTCTTTACATGGAGAGAGAGAGGAGGCTTTATTTAAATTGTCTAATTAAAAAAAAAGTTATGTTATTAATACTTTTTAATTATTTTTTAATTTAAAATAGCTCAACATAATTTAAGCAAGTTTTCTTCCATAGAAACATTATTTAATTAATTTCAGCTATCTACATTTAATTTTAACGATTTAATTTGACTGATACAAATTTGTTCAAGAAGATTTTATTTAGGATACCAAAAAATTTTTGGCTTCAATTTCACCTTGAAGTTTGAAATCGTAGTATTATTGGATCTGGCTTCTCTCCGCTGCCAGGTCCTTCCGCTGCCCTCCTCTACCCAAAACACTGCCGTTTTGGGTGCAAAATGAGGGGGGCCTGATTTTTTTTTTTTTTGGTATTTTGAAATTTTTTAAGTAGCATCTAATATCTTTTTTTTTTCATAAGCATCCAATGTTCTAAAATAATTTTTTGTTACACCCAGTATTATAAAATATTCTTTTAGTGACATCCAATATCATAAAATAGTTTTTACCTTAAAAGTGTTTGTGAAGTAGCAACAATATTTAAAATACTGAATGTTACAGAAAAAATATTTTAGAATACTGAGTGTATAAGAAATTATTGCAAAACACCAGGTACTACTGAAAAAAAAATTTAAGATACTGAGCTTTAAAAAAAATAAAATGAAAGGTGCTTATAAAAAAATATTTTAATGGGTTAAGTATATCAAAAATTATTTTAGAATATCAGATGCTACTTAAAAAAAACTTCAAAAAAAAAAAAATCAGTCCCCTCATTTTGCACCCAAAACGGCAGTGTTTTGGGTAGAGGAGGGCAGCGGAGGGACCTGGCAGCGGAGAGAAGCCAGGTCGAGTATTATTGCTCTCTTGCATTGATCAATTTTAATATTTTAACGTTTAATGTTAAGTTTTTAATAGTAGAAGTAAAATTACTACAATCACATTGAATCCAAAAAGACTTTGTGATATTTTGCTCACTTGATCTGAGCCCTTAAATTTTTCATATTTATTTCTTTTCTATTAATTACTCCTCCGATCCTTATTATAAGACCCAATTTGACTTTTTATTTGGTCCTAATTATAAGACTCAATCCATTTTGTCTCTTATATTTATGCATTTTTTTCCAAGATAATCCTTCTAATAATGATAGTTTTAGCCAATATACTTAATTAGCAAGGATATTTTAGGAATGACAACACTTATTTATTATAAATAACCAACTTAACTTACTTCCTTAATCTTTTCAAATAAGTTAATTGGGTCTTATAATTAGGACCGGAGGAGTATTAGTTTATTAGTTTTCAGTTCTTGGTCAGGATTCGTAAACAGGTGAGTCTCGTTTTTCAAGCCCGTGAACAATTTGCATAAGCATCGTGCACCCATTTAATTTGTGTGTACCGAAACTTGTAGAGATCAGGATTGCAACATTATAAAAGCCTTTGCTGGCTTTTGGTACTTCAAAGGACTCCGAAGCAAGCCAGCCAAGCCAAAGCCAACTAGCTCGTAGCCTCATAGCCCACCTACTTCAGGTACTGATCTTGCAATTGATTGCTCACGTCATTTTCAACAATGGCCGGTTGATTGGACCACCAGTGATTAGTCGACGATTTTTTTGGAAATTTAATTTCAAAATCTTGTACGCTTTGTCTTGCATTTCGATTTTTCTGCTACTTTCTCGTAAACATGAGCGTATTATTTTCTCGCTGAGACATTGGGTTTTCCTTCATTGTTTCTGTCAGTTTCTGAGCATCGGAGCACAATGTGGAAGCTGAAGATTGCAGAGGGAGGGAGTCCATGGCTGCGTTCAGTGAACAATCACACTGGCAGGCAGGTCTGGGAGTTCGATCCTAAACTTGGATCGCCAGAGGAACTTATGGAGATTGAGAGAGCTCGCGAAACTTTCCACAAAAATCGCTTCCACATGAAGCATAGCTCTGATCTTATGATGCGCATTCAGGTTCGGTATCTTAGTCCATTGTACTGTGGGCTGGTGCTGCCTCTGGCTATATATTGCTTGAGCTATAATTAGGGTGATACTTGTATGAAATCTCCTATCCGTTTAGTTGATTGAGTTTCTTAGCTATCCTGGAATACAAATTCTGGCGAAATGTCAATAATTTGCTATACTATGGTGGATCTTGTAGTCGAAGAGCGTTAACTTGACCGAATTGAACAAAATTTTCAGTTAATATTAGCTGCTAACCTGTTCGATTTATATGATGGGCAGCAACAAACATTCATTATGATACCAGACTTTCTTCTTAGCAATAATTATGGTCGCCGTACATACTTGGCGTTGTTCATCACGATTTCTTCTTTGGACGCTTTAATATTTTATTTGTTCATTAGCTAGAGGAAGTATTATATAGATGTGTGTATCTATGTATGTATGTATTCAACTAATTGTGCTAACTTCCATTCCGGTTTTCAGTTTACGCTTAATTCGCGTGTTAATGGTAATTCGTTATCTGTCTACCATAATAGGATCAAACTACGGATGATTTCTTAGCTTTATTTTGCCAGGTACAGACAAGACTATGCGTCCATTTGTATTAAATTCTAAATCGTCCATTTGGAGGGACAGGATGGAAAATTGATAGTATCGGATGTGATGGAATCCCTTGATCTAATTACTGTCCTTTATTCTTCCGTTTCTACTCCTCCAGTCCTAAATGTAAGACTCATTACATTTAGGACTGGAGGAATATATCAGTGTTTGAAATCATTCCACATATTTTTTGTCCTACTTTCTGAGGTTTGACTGCGCATTGTAGGCTGCCCTGTAAATGTTTGTTGAGAGAAAAAAGTACTTTTGTGTGTATAAGAATATTAATGGGTAATTGCAAAAGAAAGGTATAGAACATCACAGTTTCACTATAGTGTTATTTTCGTTAAATTTGCACATGTGAAAATGTTATATGTAGGAACTTCATGCTTTTTTCTTGCAAGTTCTTATCAATTAAATATCTACTTGATGAGTCTTGTACTCTATAGTATTCAAGTCCCAATTTGAACAGGTATAAGATGTATTGGATTCCCTGAAGATTGAGAATTCTTATCTAGGTATTTCATATTTTTTTAGTTTTTACCATGTGCGTTTTCAAACTTATTATCCTTTAATTGAAGTATTTTTTACAAATGTTTCTTTTTCCCCTAGAGCCAGTTTAATCTTAAAAGTAGCCACTAAAAGTGAATGAAATAATTGGGAGAGAATAGGAGATTGGGATAAACACCTAATTAAAGCCCAAATGGTATGGAACAAAATAAAAACTAATGATACATGTAACTCCATAGTTGACAACTGAAGATAGCCATTAAAAAGAACAATATGATTTGACCTTTTTGCTATACTAACAACTGCCGGATTATCAACTAAGGCTTTTGTAAGTCTAATGAACGGTATCCCTCAACTCATTATGTAGCCATTTTAACCATAATTCCTTGCATATGCCATAAGCGAAGCCAGAAATTCTACTTTGGCACTACTCCTAGCAAAATTGCCTATTTTTTATGACTATCCAAGGAGTGAGATTAGCCCATCAAAATCCTAACCCATGTTCTCATTGGTTTATTATTTCTAGATCTGGCTAAAACCCTATTCACCCTTCTCCAAATGGTGTTTTGGGGAAATAAGGCAAGTTTTCAAGGAAGGTGATTTCCAGGGTAAGATAAAATTGGTGGGTAACAAGGAAGTAACATTTTTGGTTGTGGAATATTTAAGGAACGTGTATTTAAGGGCTTTAGTACTAGGTTGCTGTAAGGATTGTGATGAATAAAGATAGCGCATTGAAAGTCCTTGATTTTTAAAAGGCAGAAGGGCGGGTAGTAGGATAGAAGGAAAGAAATAATTGGAAAGGTGTTTGACAATTCAGTGGTTTTGACTTTTGAGGGATCATCCCCCCCCCCCCCGGGTTATAATCTGAGGCATCTTATCAATCAATGACTGTCTTGGAGGATGCTTCAATACAAAAATGTTTTGGAATAATTGGCGGTGGATATGAGGAGGCCAGAAGGCTTTAAAAGGCGACAGCATTTTCTCTGAGCTATCTTAATTTATAGGGGTATGGCATTCACACTGGTGGTTTGATGAATTATCTCATCGTTTTCAAAGAAGGTTCTGTGATCAGAATTGATATATTCACAACTCTTATTTGGACCTTAGGATTTTGATTTTCATACGGATTCGTGTTTGGACCATTAGGGTGAAGTTTTTAACAATCTGTAGCACTTCCGACTTTCTCTTGAGACACATCCAAAAACATTTTTGGGTGATCGTAAGTGAAATAAACCTTTTAGCTCCTCAAATTCTGGTTAGCTTTTGAGGCCCCCAAACCTTGTTTTGGGTGAAAGCAAAGGAATGAGACGTTGGGTATGGGTATGAAAGGTAATGACTTCTGGCATGTCTGGATTTATTTATTGTATAATTATCTGGATTTTGGTATTACTTACTAATACAAATTCGAGCATTGTTGGGGCTTGAAATGGGAGGTAACTCTCCCAGTGTAATTTCTTTTTTAATTCACCAGATTTGAACCTAAAACCTTTTTTAAGAGTTGTCAAGTCTATTCCACTTGAGTCAAGTACTTTTGGTGGTATGTTTAGATTTTGACACAATGCACAATCCAAAGATGCATTTGTCTTTCCAGCGGTGGAGGGTGCAGCAATGAAGGAGGCTGAGTGATTTTTCATTTTGGTGGTCAAGGGAATATATCTGTAGAATCTGAGGGGAGGATCTGATTTATCGTCCTGATGCTATAAATTTTGGAGAGATGGAAGGGACAGAGACGGATCTAAGAGTGCTCTGTCCTGAATTATTTCAGGGAAGAATAATACAAACTAAATGGGGAAGAGTTGGAGACTAAAACTCCTGAACCAAGCCCGGACAATATGGAAGGAAATAAAGACTGATAATATGCTTAATTACCCAATGGTTTATCATTGAAGGGAGCAACTAAAAACAGAAAGAAACAAAAGCTAGTGAAGAGAAATAGATTTAAATAATTACTTCAATTTCCATGATTTTCCAACAAATCTTGAACTATTTTCTGGCTTTATGTCCTATTTAATGTGATTTTTAACGTTTCATTGCTGCGCTAAAGTTATATTATTTGTCATATGAAAAATTATACAATCTGGGCTTAATCTTCTTTCTTTAATTAAATGAAGTTTGCAAAAGAGAATCCAAGAGATGTGGCCTTACCCCAAGTCAAAGTCAAAGATACAGAGGATATTACTGAGGAGACAGTGACGAGAACATTAAGGAGAGCCATACGTTTTCATTCAACCTTACAGAGTCATGATGGACATTGGCCAGGAGATTATGGAGGTCCCATGTTTCTTTTGCCTGGCTTGGTAAGCTCAGTTTCTAAAACTGAATCTTATTTTGTGATACACATTCTAATCTAACTTGCAGGAAATCAGGTATATTTGCCAAAACTGCACCAACTCAGTCTATGACTTTGGAGTGATCATTGTGGATTGATATTTATCTTTTCAATTTTCCCTTTTTCCTGATGAAGAATTCTTCTTTGACTAATTCACCTTGTGAAATAACCATGAGAATCCTAATGCTTTCTGAGTTAAACAATCGATCAGGTAATTACTCTGTCTGTCACTGGTGCGTTAAATGCGATCTTATCTGAAGAACATAAAAAGGAAATGTGCCGTTACCTCTACAATCATCAGGTAAGAAATTTTTACCATTATTTTGTCTACCATTGGTTCCTTCTTAGAAGTTCTGATGTTATGTAACTGCAGAACGAGGATGGTGGCTGGGGATTGCATATTGAAGGTTCAAGCACCATGTTTGGTACTGTTTTAAGTTACATAACTCTCAGATTGCTTGGTGAAGGAGCAAATGATGGAGAAGGGGCCATGGAGAAAGGCCGTGATTGGATTCTAGAGCATGGTGGTGCTACTTATATAACATCATGGGGGAAGATGTGGCTTTCAGTTAAGTTCTTAGCCTTGTTTTGATGGTTTTATCAACTGATATGACGTTGTGGTGTATTTGTTTACTTATCTTATTATGATGCTAGGTTCTTGGAGTATATGAATGGTCTGGAAATAATCCCCTTCCACCTGAGATATGGCTTCTTCCATATGTTCTTCCATTCCATCCAGGTTCTTGTCCTTTAAGCTGTTCTAATGATGTTTTACTTGATCAAGGAGATATACACAAAAAAGTCCCGTCTTAAATAGTTTAAGAGTTAATTATCAAGAATTCTAGATTGGTATTTTGATTAAAAAGTTTGGCTTGTGCATTTTCTAATCTAGACGTTTTGCAAACAAAGAAGGTTGCATATAATGCAGTTGGGGGGAGAGAGAAATGAAATATAAATATAAAGGCCCCAAATGATGTCACTTTCAATTCCAATGCATGATTGGATAACTTTAAATCTAAGTTGGTATTTTGTTCAAAACACAAAATCCTTTAAAGTGGGTAACCTTTGTGGTGAAAAGAAAAATAATTATATCAAATGATGTCAATCATGGGAAAGTGTCAAATTAATTGGGAAACTTGAGTTTGTTGCTTTGTGAATAAATCAAGATTCTGATTATTCAGTCTGTTGGGTTGACCAATTTCAATTTGCACAATACCTTACTGACATGATTTTTGTCTTTTTATCCAGTCTGTCAGGGCATCTTTGTGTTGTCTGATGTATGATTCAATGTTATGAGGAGACAAAAATATTGCCTGCACTAATTGAAGGGGAAAAATTTATTTTTATGTTTTACAGGAAGAATGTGGTGTCACTGTCGGATGGTCTATTTGCCAATGTCTTACTTGTATGGGAAGAGGTTTGTTGGTCCAATCACACCAACAGTACTGTCTTTAAGGAAGGAGCTTTATACAATTCCTTATCACCACATAGATTGGAATCAGTCACGTAATTTGTGTGCTAAGGTTTGTGAAACTGCTAACTGGTCCAACAAAAAAAATAATGATAATTGCTTCACAAGAATTATATTATTTGTGGGCTCCACTTGTAATATTCTGTACATAAGTAATTATATAGAAAGTAGCAGCTAAAGATTACCTCTCTTTCATTCTGTCTTGTTTTATTTTTGTTTCCACCGTATGGAAGGTTTCCTATTATTTCGATGTGGGAACTTTCTGAAAATCATTGGTTGCTACTGCCATCCCTTCCAACCACTCAGCCCATAATGCTTACAATCTTACCACTTTGACCACATTTTATATTTTTCTGCCACCTACTTGACCAGCAAGACACTACCATGGCTTGTGTTCTCATATCGATGTTAATAACTGTCATTAGCGTGATCATTTCTCCAGCCATCCCCACCATGATAATCTGTTGCAAACTTTTAAAACCAAAATTCCTGTATATGATTATTCAATTTTATTTCATGGATTATTCATTTTGTTCCTTTTTATTAGAATTCTTGATGAGTTTATTTTCCTTAGTCTTGATTTAAGTCTATTTTCAATTACAATGGCCAGAGACTGAAGTTTTCACTTCTCGTCACTGTAATTTTTATTTTCCTTACCCTTTTGGGTGGAGGCGCATCAAAAAAAGAGCTGAACTCTCTGTTTGATTTCCATAAGATTTCCGGCAGAATTTAAGCAAGTGTGTGACAGGAGAATTACCTTTATGTGCAGGAAGACTTGTACTATCCTCACCCGCTTGTGCAGGATATTCTCTGGGCATCACTTCACAAGGTTGTTGAGCCTATATTGATGAGTTGGCCTGGAAAAAAGCTGAGAGAAAAAGCTATTAAGACAGCAATTGAGCACATACATTATGAAGATGAGAATACTCGTTATATTTGCATAGGGCCAGTAAATAAGGTATTTATTCAAGGGCAGGAAGATTCTCTACAGTACTGCTTCCCTTTTCAATTGCTCTTCTTCTTCTTCTTCTTTTAACCATTTATCTGTCTGTCAACAATGATTACTGACTTTGTTAATCATACACTTTAACTAATATTCAGGTGTTGAATATGCTCTGCTGTTGGGTGGAAGATCCAAATTCAGAAGCCTTCAAGCTTCATCTTCCAAGGATCTATGATTATCTATGGATTGCTGAAGATGGCATGAAAATGCAGGTCCACATATGAGTCAACTTATCCTGAACTTATCACAGCAATGGTGTTTTAATGCAATTGGACATTTTATAGATGTTAGGCATGCTCTGAACATATTTTATTCCTCATCTGTAAAATTGCCATGTATTAAACTCAAACTTTACTTGAGGAGTCATAAGCTAGTGGGTTTTGAAAAATAAATTATACAGATAGTGAATAATGGCTTTCTATTGCAGGGATACAATGGAAGTTCGCTGTGGGATACTGCATTTGCTGTCCAAGCAATTATTTCTACTAACCTCTCTGAAGAATATGAGGAAACACTCAGAAAAGCACACGTGTACATTAAGAATTCACAGGTGGTTATTTACACCATATTATTAAAACGTGCATCAGTTTGCATTTGTTGACAATTGTCTTATCTGTTATTTATATATTTTTTCCTTGGAAAGGTTTTAGAAGATTGTCCTGGTGATCTTAATTATTGGTATCGTCATATTTCAAAAGGTGCTTGGCCATTTTCAACCGCAGATCATGGATGGCCTATTTCTGACTGCACAGCTGAAGGATTAAAGGTAATTTATTGATCAGAAGACTTGATTTCTGTTTGCTTATTTTCTCTTATTTTGACACAATCTTTTCAGGCTTCTCTTTTGTTATCCAAAATGCCACGAGAGGTTGTTGGTGAGCCGTTGGATGCTAAGAGATTCTATGATGCTGTTAATGTCATTCTCTCAATGCAGGTAGCTAGACTCCTCATGATCCAAATCCATTTTATTTCCTCTTCCAATAGTTGAACTAATAAGATGTGGTGTTTTTGAAGATTGATGTGAGTTAAATTTGTTATTAACTTTGAGCTATTTATCTGGTTATGAAATATCTCTACCTACGCAGTAACAAAATGTGGATAAAATTAAATTGAAGATTGAACACTGATGGATTTGTGGTAATATATGACTTCAACTACTTATGCTTACAGTTAGAGCTGATGAAATTCCGGGTAACTTGGTTGAGATTTGTCGATATTCAGAAGGCCCACGGTGCAAACTTTGACACAACTCCGCGAAATAAAAAACCTGAAGTTTGGCCTGCAATTAGGTCAAGCTGCAGTTTTTCCAAAACAATTTTAATAAGCTTAGCTGAAAATGTAATACTCAAAATACCTAATGCCCAGAAATCTCTTTCTAGTCGTAAATTTCAAGTGTATATGACACATGGGGATTCTAATAGTTCTTGACATGAACGAAGTTTTATATGGCTCTACATAGCCTTCATATTATACAAATTTGAATCAAATTTACCATTCTTGTAATATTTTTATAATATAATATATTGCTTGAATACAATGTATAGGGATAAGGTGCAAATTTATCCGAAAGTTTTCATTCAAGATCGTTGGGGACTCGGAAGTTTTTTATGGTGCAAATTTTGCCCCGAAAGTTTAAAATTGTAGTAATTTTGTGTTATAAATATTAATGGCCAATGTCACTATTTTAGCGGTCAATATTAATTTTTTAACGTAGGGGGCAAAATTGCTACATTTTTAAACTCTTAGGGCAAATTTGCACCCAAAAAAACTTTTGGGTGCCTAATACTCTTGAGTGAAAACTTTGAGGTAAATTTGCACCTTAACCCATGTATATATTAACCAGAAGTTTATTTTTTTCATTAGGATATTGTCATCTTGAAGTTGCATTCTATATTTGTTTGCAAAAAAGAAAAGCAAAAGACTAAACCAAAAAGAATGAATATAAATGTCATTTTCTATCATAATAAGTTGATCTTAAACAATTTCTAGTTTAAATTCTATGTACTTTGTAGTGATATTTTGTAATTTACTTTCTATGTCGTACGATCTATGTAGCCAACCTTATTTAGTGGGATAATGCTTGTTGTTGTAACTTCTTAGTTGTTGGGCAGCTGGTTATACTATTTCAATTCGTGTAATAGTCCAATTGTTTAAAGTATTGAATCTAGAGATTTTTTCCCCCCCACATCATTGCAGAATGCAGATGGTGGTTTTGCAACGTATGAACTCACTAGATCTTATGCATGGTTGGAGGTAACTTCCTTTCATTATGTGGGGGCTTTTTCTTTGGTTAGTTTTTAACATCCTTTATGGAATCATGCAGCGTTCTCTGTCCTTAACATCCTTTATGGAATCATGCAGCGTTCTCTTTCCATAGGGAAGGACGAAATCTTTCTTTAAGTTTTTTGTTTTTATCCTTTTGTTGACAGCCTATTCCTTGAGCCCTCTTTTTCTGCATAGACACACGTTACTTCAGATATGTTTCAACTTTCAACCATTCAGCACTATTTTTTTCCCCTTGAACCCACAGTCTGACACTATGATAAATACAAGGAATTAAACAGCTAGCGGCAACAGCACGACTAATTCTAATGGAATCCAACTTAGTACCGATCCAACTTCTCATTTATATATTAGGTTGCCAAGCATAAGTTTGTGGGTTTAGGGTTTGAACTTTTAAGTTTTCCTTGAGCTCATTGGTTTTTTTTTTTTTTCCCGGTTACATCCTTGAGCTTGTCCTTTAGGCTTCATTCCAAGATATCAATATTTGTTATCAGGAAGGTTGCTTTTTGACACATTCATATGCACACGCAAATGCGTTCGCACATGCCTGTGCGCTCACACATTTGACTGTTATGATGTTAATTGGAGTTAGAAAATTTAGTTCCAATGAGGCTTGTTGTATCACTATTAGTATAGATAATTGGATGGATACATGTGATAGATGGGAATGAATCGAATGATGTTATAGCCCTGCTGATAAGAAAAAGAAAAATAATACAAGAAGGACGGCAGAAGAAATAAATGAGGGAAATCGTTAGGTTTTGATTTTCAGAGCTGCAGAATAGTGAATCAGGGTTACAAAGGGGAGTCACTGATTCTGGTCAAAACCCTCTTCCCCCGTTACACTCATCTCTAAGAACAGAAACTATTGCTCAAAGCACAGAACAACTCACAAGAACGTAATATAAGCCACTGGCATTCGAGAGGCCAGTCGCACCTCACCACACTTAAAATACAAAATATGATCTACTTCTGCTGGGAGACTCCAACCGCTACTACAAGCCAAAAAGTAACATTCACACTCCCCAATACTACCCTCTCTAGACCAGGCCTATAGCAATCCTATATCAACTCTAATCCTTTGTTTCTTTCTCCGTAATGTTAGGAGTCTCAAGGTCAGTGCTCTGATCATCAGAAAGTTGCTTCCACTTTCTTGCATCTTCCTAAATTTCCTTTTAGAGTTCTTTGTAACAAAAGTGGTTCTATCAAACAGTGTCGTGTGTTTATGTTTACATGTGTTATTAACATCAGCTTATTTATTGTCAGATTATTAATCCTGCTGAAACTTTTGGTGACATCGTTATTGATTATCCGTAAGTTATTAAATGCCTCCTCAAGATCAGTTATGTATACCTCCTTCCATTTCCCCTTTCTGAATTTTAACATATCCTAGCATTCTATTATGTACTCTAAAGCTACGTAGAGTGTACATCAGCAGCAATACAAGCTTTGAGGTTATTTAGCAAGTGGTATCCTGGTCATCGCAGACAGGAAATAGAACATTGTATCGAAAAAGCTGCTGCCTTTATTCAAGAAATGCAAAATTCAGATGGTTCATGGTTTGCTCCCTCTGCTCAAGATACCACCTTTTTTATTAAAGAATTTGTGAATTAATTTGATCTGTAATGTTGAGCATGTTGCATGCATGCGTCTCATCTTTGTATTGTGCATTTTCTATATGCTTCTGTTTTATTGTTATGGTGAACTCTAACCACTGAATCTGATCTCAGGTATGGCTCGTGGGGGATTTGCTTCACATATGGTGCATGGTTTGGACTAATTGGGTTGATTGCTGCTGGAAAGGACTTCAATAATTGCTCTAGTGTCCGTAAAGCTTGTGAATTTCTGCTGTCTAAGCAGCTTCCTTCTGGTGGCTGGGGAGAAAGTTATCTCTCTAGTCAAAACAAGGTAAAGTGTTATGCGTCTAATCTCTAATGTTTATTTTACTCAACACAGAGTCGCTCAAATACTTAAGGATTCTCATGAACTCCTCCCGTTATTATGCCTAAATACATATATCTGCTCTTGCGCATTTCAAACACATGATTATAGAGGGTAGAATCATAGACGTGTAAAGGCAATATGGGTGCACAAATAGAGACGTATCATCTATCAGGTGTGTTGCTAATAAAATGGATCACCAAAATTTTAAAAGATAAAGAAAACTTGGTGCCCATGTTTCTGGATCGTATATTGCATTTGGTTCCTTAAAGTAACACTGAGTGAGGAAACTGGATTACTTCCAGCGATTTAAATGCTGAGATTTCTGTATAATTGTCATTGCAATGTTTATTTGCTCAGGTGTATTCAAATCTGGAAGGAAACAGGTCTCATTTAGTAAATACAGGGTGGGCTATGCTGGCTCTCATTAGTGCTGGACAGGTATAAAGAAAGTTTTTATGCATTTACTATCTTGCCATAACAAACTGTAGTTTAAACCAATACCCATGCCTGAATGAATCTGTTGAAACAATTTTATATCTATGAACTAAAATTTCATATGAAAGGCTGACATTCTTTTTCCAATCAAGAATTGAATATCCATTCTTTTATAAGATGGACATTAAAGTAACTGGATTGTATACTTTTCTACCTTGCATTTGGTTTGGTGAAGTTCTTGGCTCACCTCTTCTTGCCAAATCCGCTTCTATCATATGGAAGAGTGGGTTCGGACATAGTGCAGTGGGGCAAGGGACTCCTGCCCTCTCCCTTATCACGCTTCCTCTTTCTGTTCCTTATGTCCTATGATTTATTGGGACTGATTGAACCGTAAGGAAGGGAAGGGCATGGAAATGAAACAATTATAGCCATTTCGCTTGACTTCTTTCAAGTTACAACGACATTTTCACAACTCAATATGTTTTTTTTCCGTACTTGTTTTTCTACTTACAATGGAACCTCGTACGATTTGAAACTGATTTGAGTATTTTATCTACGAATTCCATGCATCTGATTACCTCGTTCTAATGTCTACTGAAACGGGAGACACAGATTATGTTTCCTCGTTTGTGATGAAATTCAACTTTTTCCATCCTTTTCCTAATCTTGAACAGGCTACAAGAGATCCAACGCCATTGCACCGTGCTGCCAAATATTTGATAAATTCCCAAATGGAGAATGGTGACTTCCCACAACAGGTATGGAAGATGAGCAAATCCATTGTCACAGCACTAGCCTTGCTTTTTGAATGAAGATTCATAGAGTTCCGTTTCTGTTGCCCCATGGCTATTGCATAAGGCTTAAGTAATCAATCTTCTTCATATTCTTAATATCTTTGCAGGAAATCATTGGAGTCTTCAATAGGAATTGCATGATCTCTTACTCTGCATACAGAAACATATTCCCCATCTGGGCACTGGGAGAGTATCGAAATCATGTATTGCAAGCTCAATAATCTCCCTCAATCTGATTGTGATCCCAAACATATCTAATTTTAATCTCTTAGTTGGCTTCTTTATTAGCTTATAAATGGTGATGGATGCATCTGGAAGCCAAGCAAACTCTTTTGATGTTCGGTGAGTTTTGTTTTTTCTTTTTCACAACTTTCCAAGAGAAATTGGTCCCGAGCTCTCGGACTTGCCTTTTATATTGACTTGGGGGAAGCCGATACCCAATATAATGCTGGTCGAATGTTGGGAAAATGAAAGTCTACATAGAGGAGCTTGAAGACAGTTAGGTGGCTTTGACATGGGAGAAGGAAGAGGTCAGGAGGAGGATGGAAAGTTTCTACTTGTGATAGAGGGAGTCCTATGCCTAATTGATGAGCGGTCTCTGTGGTTTCACCTTCATGAGGTTTGTGGTGCAACCGCCACTGGATGATCCGTGCTTTTTTGAAGTTAAAAGCTATGGAAACTCTTTGCTGTGCGATGAATGTGATGTGTTAGGGTCCAAAGTGTTGGGGGGTTTTTTTTCCTGAAAAAAAAGAGAGTAAAAATGCCCGCCCACCTGGTATGGACACGAGATCTGTGTGATTGCATCAGCATGAACATTAGGGTTTTGAGTATCTTATTACAGTTTCTAGACCTAGAACGTCCTAGTGTAGTCTTAGTATTTTAGTCTTTTCGTACTTGTGTCAAGTCAGCAAGTCTAGTGAAATATTTGGGACTATATTTACTTTTGAAGGATTTTTATTTTTCTGGCCAATAAGTTTTAGAGAGTTTTTGCCCCATGTATCTTCCTAATTCACCACCTAATTGGATACATGGGACGGATTTTGAATTAAGGTTTTGTATGTCCTCTCTGCATCCTCTTATAAACAATAATTTATACTAATAAAACAGACACAAAATGTTAAACTTAAGCCAGTCGTGATAACTCTGAGAGGATGCAGAGAAGGTGTACAAAAACCTGCGGTGAAGATTCAAAATCCGAGAAATTAGCGATGAATTGTGTGTACTTAAATTATCGGGGTAAATACAATTTTTGTTCTTTAAGTTTGTTTTTATTTTGGTTTTGATTTATTAAATTTCAAATTATAGGTTTTGGTTCCTCAAATTTTTTTTATTTAAGATATTTGTTCTTATATAATTCAATAAAAATGTGGATTATTTTACTTTTAGAGCGGCTAAAATCTGTTTTCAAATTTGAGGTTAAGGGACTAAAACTTAAAAAAAGTGAACGTAAATTTGAGGGATCAAATATTATATTAACTCAAGTTATGAGAATAAAATGAACCATCAAAAGTCCATGATATGTTGATTTAACTATTCGCTTAATGTTTTGGGATTAAATACAAAATTAATCTAAGAATTGCACTATAGGGTGGAACCCTGAGTTGTTCTCTTGTTAGAGTCTTAGTTATTGATTCTAGGTTAACTAGATGTCATAAAAATGCAAATTGACTGAGAAAAAATTGGAGGTTTTTATTACAACTATCAATTGAAATGAAATACAATGTAAATATATTGTTGGATTTTTGGAAGATTGAAATAGAATGGATGAAAAGCAAGTATTGAAAACAGTTGATGAAACCTCTTGAAAATATATCTTTGGCAATCATAGTTTAAAATGATTTTGGGAGTAGAAATCATTGTTTTCTAAATAAAAAACATTAAAGAATCATTTAAGTCTAGGATCTTAATGAATGGCTATTTAATCATTGAACTCTATGAAGCACACTTAGTGTGTGTATTAGGATTAGTTAATGCATTTGGTTCAATGCAAAACTAGATTAACTCATCAGTGAAACAATATCATGTACAAAGAAGAGTATCAAAAGAATTGCATAAAAATATGTTGGTAATCGCATGTATAGAAGCTCACATTCAACATTAACTAATCCAATACACAAGATAATCATCCAAAGTTGATTACAATCATAACCAACATAGTTCAGTCACAATTTTACAAACCCTAGATCTAGGAATTCATAAACAAACAACTAGACTATAGATGAAGCCAACTCCCCTTTGAAGCTCTTGGAACTCATGCCAATCAACCCATCTTCAAGAGAATAGATGTCTAGCCACGCATTGGAGTAGGAAGCATCACAATCAGCAATGATTCGAACTACCCATGGTGGAAGATGAAGGAAAAATAGACGAAGATGAATATTTGGTGAGGGAGAGTGAGAGAGGACGAACGGAGGAGGCTATTGATGAATGGATGGAGAGTTAGGTCAAAAATAGAGTTTCTAAATGTTTAAGGAGGTGAAATGGGTCGGATTTAATGAGTAGGTAGTCTAATCTTGCAATCAGGATTTGAATTTGGGTTGCTGATATGAGGACTTTGCCGCAGTGAAGGCAAAGGTTTGCCATGGCGAAGCTTTCTCGAGAGGAGCTTTATCAAAATCTGTGAGGTTGCCGAGGCGAAGACATCCTGAGATGACACTGATGGTCATCTTCTAATTACACCACGACACATTATTTTCTTGGCCGCGATGAATAGTTCGATAATCAATACTCTGAGTCTTGCATTGTGTAATTCCTTGGTCTCCAATCTTAACTCTAATTCATAAGTGTCTTGCAATAAAAAGCAATAATTTGAAGCATCAATTGTCCTAGAAATTAATCAAATATAATCAATAACTAATCATGACAATTTTATCCTCAAACAGAAACTAACTCAAAGAAAGGACTCTTAATCTAAATTAAGCACAATTATCATTAAAAGAACCACTAACTATGATAAAAGCCTTAAAAATGATATGAAAAGACATAAAAGAATTGGGTTTGGGATTCACTTCGTGCGCCTTTTTCTTTTCCCGGCTACAAGGGTGCATTGTGGGTTTTAATTAAGTACTTGAATGAATACTTTTATGATAGGAGAGGTAAGAACAGAACTATGCAAGGGAAGAGGCATTTGGAAAAGTATTAAACTCCATTAACATCTCTGAATTATTAGGAGATGTGAATTGGTACTTTGGTCATATAACAAGATGCGGCACGAGATTTGAAAGAATATTAAAAGAGGAAGACATGACAAATTTTTTTAACAAAAATAAGTCAATTTTATTGATTATCGAAAAATAGTATTACACTTGCTTGAAAACGAAAGTGCGATTACAATCTATAACAGCAAAAACAAAATACCTAAGATACAACTAATTGTACCAAAATTGCGTAGCATATTTTCTTGCATTTTGACTACTTTTTGGCTGGTTTATGGAGCGTTATTGCATATTTTAAAGCTTTTAATAAACATCGAGTGATCGTATCATTTTAATGTTATGTTCGTATGTTTTGCATGTTTTTTGTACTTGCTCTTAATTATGTTAGATTCCTTTGACCCTTTGATGCTGCACATTGTTATTTTGATCATGCAGGTGCCATAAAACATGAAGGAAGAAGGTGCAAGAACTCAAACTTAGAGTAACAGAACTCAAGAATTAAAGTTGGGCTTCTCTATATAGTTTGTTGCGGCAAACGATCCTCAACAAAAGCGTCCTCTTTGTGAACTTCGTCACGACAAAGGCATATGTTCATTGCGGTGAACGTGCATTTATCAGCATGCACTGTTTCGGGTCCTGGAGCAAAAATTGGAACAATCCATACACAATCCGGCCTGAACCTAACTCTTACTCATTTGGGCTATTCGGTTTCGGCTCTTGGGCATAATTATCATCTTCCATGAGCCTGTCATTACCGTTTCTCTCCTCTCCTCATCTCCAATTTCGATTCCCTCCCATCCTTCACCATTTTCTTCATTCCTTACACCCTCATTCACCATGCCCGCGGTGCATCCAAAGGTTGCGTTGTGTGGCCTAGGATCTTCCAGCTCCTTGAGGATAGGTTGATGGTGTTTGAACAAAGGCACATCATCTAGGGGAGTTTTCTTAATTCTGATTATGTATTTTGAATCTTCTACATATAGTGCTAGATGTTCATTTTACGTATGTGGCTGAGATTTGAGTTATGGAATTGATGAATCTTTGTATTGTGTATTTGGATTGGGATTTTGTATTAAGTACTTTGATTTGGTTAATGCTAATTTTAGTTTTAGTCTTTAATTTTGAGTTATCTCTTGTGTGATGATTCTAGTTTAGACTTGCTTTGAGATTAATGTTGTTCAGTCTTGATGATTGAGCTTGTTGGTGTGAGTTGTCGAGTTTGGTAGCGCTTAAATAACTCCTTTGAAATGGACTCACCTAAAGGAATAATATGATTAATCTAATCTAATCATACAAGTAAGACTGAGCTTAAGTTTTATGGTTAAGTGTCTTAATTTATGTTTGTGATCAGTCAACATTCAGCTGCTCGATATCGAGTGTGCTTAGAAACCACATTAAGTGACTATTGAATGATTGAGTTTTAGTTGGATACTTGCATATATTAGTTGTTGAACTCATTGGTGTGAAGTTTTTCTATCAATTAGAGTTTGCTTAAGGAACTATCCATTTGAACTAGATTCAATTGTACCCAAATCCCTAATGAGACCGTCGCTTGTCACCTAAATACCCTATCTCAAGCGAGCATTCATATCGTTTGGCATCTAAATCATCTTTTCTTTTACTCTAAAATCCAAAAATAGTTTTTCATTGCATTACTTGTACTTCTAAAATGATTCCTTAACTCCAATCTTTGTTATCTTCAACTTGTTTTAGCAGTTAATTAACTAAGAAGTTGATAATAAGGCTCTCTTGAGAACGACTCGAGTGTTGCACTAGTTGCAAGCCTTGGTTTAAAAAAAATTTGTTGATTTTAACATTCAAAACGCAAGAAAAAAGGTTAAATTTACAACTTAGCAATAAAGCAAAAAAAACAAGTAAAAAACAATACAAAACAAAGCCTAAGAACATTAGCCAATTCCAAAATGAGTATAAACTTGAGAGACTAAAAATTATACTAACCCATTAGTAAATAATCTAATTATTCAAAAAATTACTATTATAATAAAATCTAGTTAATTATCCTATATAAAAAAATTAATTAAATTGAATAGATTATAATAAACATCCCTCATATTTTTTGGCCAATAAACATCCTTCGGCTTCTTATGTGTGTATCCTAAAAAATTTCTTTCTTAAAAAACCTTTGTATGTACCGTTCGCATTTGTTTTGAAGACCAAAATAATCTATATCCCTTTTTTTGGTACAATAAAAACACTGGACAGCTCACGTGCTGCCACTACTCTGAAGATTTGATCGTATACTCTCCAGGATGCAAGAGGGAGGTGTCGCGAAAGATATGACCCCTTGGTGCATGCCAAGTACTTATTTGGATAAGGTGTCTGCAGCTGTATTGGCCTCCCAATGGCACCAAGATACTTGAACCACCTATTCCCTTCCAATCATACTCATAGCTTCTTCCAAGATAGAGTCAATAATATGGGTTGAGTTTGGAAACTCAACCTGCAACACCCATAAGATGACAAGTTGAATTAAAAAAAATAGGAACTATTTTGATGCCGTCTTTTTTAACCCGCATCTGCCAAGGGCTAGCCACCAACCCGTGAGCTCCCGTCAGTCATTTTTTATTGTTTGTAAATTTTTAATAATTTTAATTTTAATTTTAATAAGAAAATTTTATCATTTTCACTTAATTTACAAATAAATTTGTATTTTGTTAGAGACTTTGATTCTAAATTTGATTTTCTTTTTTTTATTGTTTTACTATTTTTGTCCTAATAAAATAGCTATTAATAATAAATTATATGTTTATATTTCAACTTTTGAGACTAATTTAATTATATAATTATATAAAAACATAAAAATAAGAAGAATTTAGTCTATAAAAATTTATAATTTAATTTAAAAAATCTTAAATGTATGGGTAAAAAATCTTTTTAAAAGGATGGAGGCACTCACCTTTTGGCAGGACGGGCTGGCAAAATGGGAGTCTGCCAGGAGGCGATCCTTTTAGAACCTGCGTGTATGGTCTTAAGCCTGTGATGAGTTGACTCGTAACTGACGGCCAGATTGTTTTACCACCGCTCCAGGAGACCTGTTAAGTTGTCATTAACCACTTCTCGATTGTTTAGCTGTTTGACCAAAGCCAAGCTGTCGCTTTCAAGTATGACTCTTCTGAGGCCTCTCTTCCAGACCACCTTGAGACCCTCTATCCCAGACTACCGAGACCCCATAGTTATGCAGTGTAGCTATTACCTTTGTCGAGATTGAATGAGAAGCCACATATCGCCTCCCCTGTATAGTCACGTACAATGCCTACACACGCCGCCACCCCTATAAGATTAGAGCACGCACTATCCATGTTGCATTTAAAACATCCATCCTCTGGCAGCATCAAATTATCCACTATAATCGTCTGGCTAGCCTCGACACTAATTCTTGGGTCTGCCCACCCTGCACACGCCCTTGCTTTGCTAATCACCTCCGAGGATAAGCTGTGCTTATCATTGAAAACTTTAGCATTTCGAGAGAGCCACAGCTGCCTGTACATCAATGCAAACCAGACATTCCATGGATCCCTTTACCTTCAACTTCTGACATATATTCCAATCCTTCCATTCACACGTCCCTTGCGTGGCGTAGAAATTCACCACATGACTTCGAGGGACCAGATAAGACCAAGTCTCCCTTACTATGTCACAACTTTGTACCACATGTAATACTGTTTCTCTCCCATTCTAACAAGTATTGCCCATCACTGTCCTGCTAACCCCTTCACTGCCCTAACCTCATTAGTCAACAACTTGTTTTTTTGCATAAAACCACAGGAAGTTCATGCAACGTTGTGGGATGTCTCACCAGATGCCTCACCATGAGGTCGGATACTGTCATAAGTTGATCTAACTGAAAAGATCCCTGATAGTGATTGACTCCATTGAGGGATGTCTTCCTCGTGTACATCACGTGTCATATGTTTAATTTCATTCGCAATTTATGCTAGTAAATACCTATCAAAGTACTTTATATTCCAGTCTCCGACCTCTTTAGTCACTTTTGCAATGTTGGCGTCCCAGTGATTCCTGGAAACTTCACGCATCACTTGGTCAAGCAAACATCCACGGTGGGGCAACTAGACATCCTGCTTCCAAAATCTAACATGACACCTATTCCGAACGTGCCATCTCAAACTGCTTCTAAACTCCTCCCATTTATTCTTGATGCCTTGCCACACTTTACACCCCTTTCATCTTGTCTCCACTTTTGGTAAGAGATACTTCCCACAACCATACTTCTCTCTGATGACCTTAAGTCAGAGATCATCTTGGTGGTGCATGAGGGCCCAACCTAGTTTACGCATGAACGCATCTAATACACAAGCCTCCTTCTTTTTTCGTACAAACATCTTCCCAGGAAACCAAATGCACTTTCCTATGCTCGCGCCCCCACCCCACGGAAAATGGCTGCACTTTTTAAAAAACCTTTGTATATATCATTTGCCGTTACTTCGAGGACCAAAATAATTTATATCATAAATTATTAATTACATCGTGATCTAATTTCATTGTTTCATCATTCAGATTCAAAATTCAGCTCAACATTAGTTTGTCTATAATAATAAATGGAGGTCTTTATACAAATCCATTTGTCGATTTTGAATTTCTACCATATATTACATTTTTTAATATATTGTATATATAATACAATTATTTCGTTCTCATATTAATTTATATAAGACAGTTATTAATACTTTTATCTTATTTGTTTGATTATTATTAATGATTAAGAGAAATTAATTTTAATGGAACATAAAACAAATTTTTAAAGAAATCCTCTTTTCTATCTTAGTAAGTATCTAATCATGAGATGGATAATGACAATACCTTTATTAATACTAACTTCATGAATATATCAATTTATCTACAATTGAAAATATGTTTAAATCATTATATTGTTAATTATGTTATTATATAAATTGATATAGGTTTATAATCTAACATAACAAAATTTGAAATTGGCAACGGAATTGCAACAGAAAGACTTAGCAATAGGAAATTCCATGACAAACAATTTAGTGATAGAATTAGTGACAAAAAAAGTTTGTCACTAAGAATTTTATAACAAAAACTGGCAATGGACTTTGTGACAAAAATTTCTAGCAAAAAAATTCTATTGTTGATTCTATCACTAAAAATTTATCGACAGAATTTAGTGATAGAATAAAATTATATGGCTAATCCATCGCTAACATTAGTGATGAGAAATTTTCATTACTAATCTGTCACTAAATTTAGCAATTCTTTTTGTTGTAATCCATCAAAAATTAATGACGAAATAATTTCTCTTTGCTAATTCTGTTAGTAATAAGTTGTTCTTTTGTAGTGAAGGCTTGAAGCATAATCAGACCTTTCAAAGACTCGTGTCTAAGCCTAAACAATGCCTATATGTAGGTTCAGGTGAAAAGCATGTCGTAGTGCTTAACAAAGATACTAAGCTAAGAATGCAGTGATGATGGAATCTAGCCTAGGTCATTTCTCAAATGAGCGTAGCTAAATGCTTACTAAAGTTCCTAACAGGTTCAAAGAATCACAAATTAATAAATTAAGGATTGTAAAGCAAAGAAGAATTATTTCTGTAATTTTCTGGTTTAATCCTAAAGCTACTGTTTATATATTTTGTTTTTATATTCAGGGAAGAAATTTTGGATCACGGAAAAGAATTGATTATGATGGTAATAATTGATACTATACGGCATGAATGTTCTCTTAGAGATAATCTGTACCTTCCTCACCTATTTACTAGCAGGAGTTGAGGAACCGAATGAAAAGGTTCGCTCACAACTCGCAAGCTCACTCACTGTGAATGATCAACTCGAAAGAAATCACAGCAAGTATCAAATGATTCGGTCTGGGAATAATAATCAGTAAACCAGTTCTTCTATCCATGGCCAACTCGGTCCAAATCAAAACTAACTTAATCAAATCAAGAACAAAACCAACTTGTTCTAGTATTTAGATGTAGAATCAGTTCAATCGGAGGAAGTAAACATCAACTTGAGCTTACACATGATTTTTCAATCATTACTCCTAACAATCTCAATAACTCCAGATAACAATAATCTTACGTTCTGAATTCTACTCCCTCCGTTCCTTATTATAAGAGACGAATAACCGAATTACGTTGATCAAAAAAACAGTTAAAATTAGTTAAAAACAATCAATGTGTAAAAAGTATAATTGTTTTTCCAAAAATGCCCTCATTAATAAGGAGAGAGAGCATGAGAGAAAACAATTAAATTATTAAAAGAAAGAGAAATGGGATGGAGAGAGAGTGTGAGTTGGAGACAATAAATATGGGTAAAATAGGAAATCAACACAAAAAGTTAGAGACAACTTTTTCGTCGCCGCTGAAAGTCTTAGTTTCAGCGGCAACTTTTTTTGTCGCCGCCGAAAGTCGTCGCCTAAAGTCTGTTTTTTTGTAGTGACTAGTGATGATGTGGCCGTCGATGGCGATGACGTGGCGGCCGACGGTGATGACGTGGCACTGGCAGTGATGACGTGACATTGGTAAAACCAATTCTTCTTAAGCATTACTTTCAGCGGCGACAAAAAAGTCATCGCAGAAAACACTTTCTGCGGCGACATTTGTCGCCATTGAAACTTCTAAAAGTCGCCGCTGAAAGTGTTTTTTAGCGGTGACATTTTTAGTCGCCACTGAAAGTTTTTAGCCACGACTGATACGGCAACGACTTTTCAGCAGCGACTTGTCGCCGCAAAAAACTTTTAGTGGCGACTTTTATACTTTCATTTGTCACCGCTGAAAGTCAATTTTTTTGTAGTGAGCCTTACAACTCGTCTGACCAAATAGAAGAATTTAGCTTAAAGCAATATGAGAAGAAGAAACTCCCTCCTTGAAAATCGAAGGCTCAAGTACAGTCATATCTCCAAGTGAATAAAAGAAGTCAGCCACACATACTCCGGAACTGTGTAAAACTCCAATCAATCGGTGCAACAGCCATAGAGAAAACAAAGTGAAGACGAAACAATGGAAATCAAAATCTGGAAGTGGCGACGGTAATAGAGGGACGGAGGTTGCGAGGAAATGAGAGCAGCGAGTTGTGATGATTTTTTTCAGCCAAAGAATTTTTCTGGGCAGAAGAATAATGAACTCCCCTTTCGGATAGAACAAAGCTGATAAGCTGATTCCCTTCTGCCAGCTCATAAAACCGATTAATCACTCTCTTGCCCAACGGTTTCATGACAGAATCCTCTTCCCCTAGCTCTTCATCAAAACGCAGCACTTCATTACTCAAAGTCTGCCTCCTATTCTTTTGGTTGGGCCTGAGCTTCTATGGGTGTGTTTGGATGAAATCAAACCGTGGTTTGGAAAAGTGATTCTGGAGAATAGATTTTGGAGAGAATAGATTCTGTGAAGAATAGATTTTGTAAAAAAGTGATTATGAGAAGTGAGAGTGTTTGGATAGTTGTTATCAGAAGCACTTTTTATATATACAAATTACTAAAAAAAAGACATAAGTTAATATGATAATTACAGAAAAAATAGATTTTATGATATATTTTAATTTGAAGGAATAAAATTGTTAATAATATATTTTTTACCAACATAATTAATAATACATAAGATAATATAATTAATAAATAATTAATGTGTATATATATTTATAAAATATAAGATTAAATATGTTTATCAAAAAATATGTTTATAAAAAACATAACAAGATACATATCATATAGGCTCTCACACTCTCCTTTTTTTCCCCAAAAGCAAAAATTTTTTGCTTTTTCCAAAACCATGATTTTGGAGTCAAAACCATGGTTTTGGTTTTTAGAGGGGGTGTTTGGGTGATTGACACCCCAAACCATGGTTTGGGGTGTCACCCAAACACACCCTATGTCTTGAATTTCTGGCCCAAGATCTGATAAAAACAAATAGAAAGAGTAACTAGTTCACAGCATCAAAAATACTATAAAAAAAAGACACATAGTTCCTGATTTGATCAATTATAACTTCTCATTTCTTTCCCACCAAACAAATAACTTTTAATCACAAAATTGCTGTTTGATCTTACAAATTAGGCCAAGAATTCACTGCACACTAAGAGTTTATCATTAGGCATTAAACCACAAGCCTCCCTGATTTGAACTACCTTATTTTCATTTCTACTACTCTGTTTGGGATTCAACTTCATTAAAATCCCCAACACAAGACTAAGCTCCCACAACACCTCTGCGAGTGCCCCTAACTTCCTCTAAACAAGCCCTCTATCTGCACTCTTCGGAGCCCTATAGAAAAAAAAAAAGTTGCAAAATCTGGCACATTCATCATAGAGGAGTGTAATTTAACACGTGTTAGATTTTTTAACCGATAGAGGATGTCTACTTCAATTCCTTCATATCATATGCAAACCTTGTTGTTACCTAAACATCTCTTAAATGAGCTAAAAAGCAAGCAAAAATTTCTTATGGGGATATAAAGAAGGGAAGAAAAAGCTGCGCCTCATCTTGGGATAAGGTGACAATGAATAAAAAAGATGGAGGCTTGGGAGTTGGGGATCTACAAAAGCAAAATGAAACTTTTCTACTAAAGCTATGTCGGAAATTACTTACGGAAAAGGAGTCTTTATCGTAGCACCTCAAGTGTGTGTGTATATATATATAGACATACCTAACAAAAGTACTTTATAAATAGTCCGTAAATATTTCTAGTGTCCAAAACATCAAAGTAGGACATATTCAGTTTCAAATAACAAAATATGCCATAGTTTCAAAATAATTCCTTAAAGTATCTTTAAAAAAAAAAAGGCAAAATTCTAGTGTCATGACAAATAAATATAACATAAAAACCTCAATTTAATTATTTGAGGATTTAGAGTCATTTTAAGGCTTAGGTAAAAAGACTTAGAAAGGGTGTTAAAAAATGATAATAAATTACTATTCTACAAAAAATATAAATAATGAAATAAGTATAAAGAAAATAATAATAGTAGAAAGAGATGTGTGAAGAGAAAATACTTTCATAAAATAGTTATTTTAGATATGTGTGTAAAAAAAATTATTGCTATTATTATTGTATGATAAAAAAAATAGAGAAAGAATATTACTAAATTATTGTAATATGAAAGATAAAAACCCTAACACACTCTCTCTCTCCTTTGTAAATACCATGTCTCCTCACTTCTTGAACATCTTTCAGTATTTTTGTAAATGTATTATATATTATGCAATTTGTATATCAATCTATGACATGAATCTGCCATATTATATTATGTGATGTCAAATGATGATGATAGCAAGTAAGATTGAATATGGTGATGCATGAGAATGAATTATGCAATGTTGGCATGATTATGAAACAAGAAATAAATGAATATAAATTATTAATACAAGCAAGAGAGATAAGTTATCTCTAAATGAGCTACAAATTTGTGATAGAGTGGAAGTGAGGCAAATAATGAAATCTTCCCATGGAAAACATCCTAAGTTTTAAAACAAGTGATAGATTACTTAAAATAGATATATGTGCTAAGAGTTAGGACAGAGAAACTAGAAGGTATAGTTTTTATCAAATAAATAGTAAATTTCTATGA